CTGACTTCCTGGAACCGTGTACGCTTTCTTATCCTGCTTCTGTTTTACTACACCTTTTGTCCCCCATTGTCTTCCTGTACTGTAAATAAGTAGTGGCCACTTGCTTTCCTTTTTTCCCCCATTTTTGCGGCTACAGTTGATGAAGGTGGGCGCTTTGCCGTTCTATGTTCTTCTCCTGCGCGTAATGTATACTATCATGGTCTCATATTATCTTGGTTTCTCCAGTTTGTCTTGTTATCGCCATCCAACGACCACTTAAGTATGTATTATGACGCGAACTAACGGACTAACGGGGCTGGCGACTTAAAGTTTAACTAGCCGAAGTACCCTGTCTCGTGTTCTTGGTGGAGAGATACTTGGCGCTTAACAGGCTCGCTCGTTGGCTGAGCCCCACCCTTAGCCGGCAGACGCCGTAACTGCCGCTCCCTCCAACGTCTTGCACCTCGATGCCTGGCTTTTCCTCTTCCTGCTCTTCTTCTGCAGTGACATGGTCTCCCTCACAGTCCATAATACTATCATCTACACGCTTGTTCTCTCCTCTGTATTGGGCTGGGTAACTAACCCCGATCGAGTGCCTCGCTAGTTATTTTTAATACATCTTACTAAACCCGCGCCTGTTACGTCACCGGCCCGGTGTGTGTTGTATATCCGCTGCGCCCCGCAGCAGCCACAACAATATTTCTCACTATACCACAAGAAAGAGAGGGAAGAAGGGATCGCTCACCACGCTCAACTTCAAAGTGATTTCCAACTGCTCATATCCGCATCGCGTGCCTATGGCTACAGGTAGATTAATCCCATGTCGTCCTCGCCCTATTACTCGAGGGATGGCAACATGCTAGGATTACAAGTCAGGAGCTAACGTGAAAATTCTCTTCCGTAGTAACCCTACACGCCGTTACCCTTGATGGAGGTGACGATATAGGGGAACGGGATGTCTATTTCTCGTCTACTATGTATCGTTGCATCATCGGCCGCTCATCGCAGTCCGGGAAGAGCCTGTTAAAGGCTAGCAAGGATAATCTTCGATTCGATAATCGTGTTGTCTCTCGCAACCATGCTGAATTATTTGTGGACGTTATAAAGAAGGTAACTCATCTTGGCTACCATCAAATATCCTCCTCCATTCTGACTGTGATACTCTATAGGAAATCCATATCAAAGATCTCTACTCTTTGCACGGAACGTTGCTAAATGACACCAAGCTGACTTCAGGACTGAAACTAGTCTCAAGTGGTGACATAGTTGTCCTGGGAGCCACCGTCAATAGAGGAGAAGGTATGCATGGACTTCCAATTGGAATCCTATAGGCTTACAGAACTAACTTGCATGACGCCGTAGACTCATATAAACCAGTCAAAATTCTTATTAGCTATACATGGAACGACCCTTCTAAGGCCATACCTTCCTGTGAACTACCAGCCACAAACACATATGCTGTTCCAGATGACGACGAAGATAGCGAGGTTCAAAGTGAGAACGGGGGTAGTCAAATTCTTGACGCAGAACATGACCCATCCTTCCAGTGGCAAACGACACCATTACAGCCAAAGTCAGGCGCGGATATCATATCCATCAAGTCATCTCCAGACCCGGCCGAGCGCGAGGCAGATATCTCCTCCACGCGCGCCTGTCGCGATAGCGCCACAGGCCCTTGGTTTTCACGTGCCCCCTATCCTGCCGGAGAAAGGCCATTCGGCCTGCGGCCTTACATTCAATCTCATTCAACAGGCCGCCCTCCAGTCGACAACATCCCGGATATAAATTATCAGTGCCATGTTCCGTTCTTAGGGAGACAGCCCCTTACATTCACCGAGATACATGACCCGTTTCGACGTCAACTCTCTCATCTGAATACATATGGACTTCCATTGCAGCCGGCTCCCACCCGGAATGAGCCATCTCATAACTCTCTAACGAAGGAGAATCTAGATAAACTTGCTAAGAAAACAACCACAAAACAAGTTGGCCCCACTCCATCATCACCAACTAGCTCCCACGCTTGTGGTACCAAGCGTAAGTTTGATGACTTATGTGCTGCTGAGGCCATAGACGGCGAAATTCTCCCTGATGCCCAACCTCAAGAGAACCTCCCAGTCAATAATACAACTGAGGAAATTGAGTACAATCCTCCACAGAAGCGAGCGAAATCTTCCAATGCCGAGCAGCCTTCTCGTATTGCGGTTTTTGCTCGCTATGCTGCTACAGCTATCACTGGGGCCGTTTTAGGTGGAGTCGGGACTGTTGTTGCTCTTGCTTCCCTACCTCCAGGTTTCTTTGATTAAAAAGACGCAAGACAAACAGGTCCCTATATCCACCTTCCGAGCTGCTGCATCATACTTTACTACCTTCTTTCTTTTTCACCCCTGATCCATTGGTCTTCTATTCATGGTTCGATTTTTTTATTTTTATTTTAGTTTACCGGGGTTTACAATCCAGACCACCTTCGTTCCTCTCACGCCTAGGTATAGTTGACGGCAGATAGCAGGGTAATGGTATGGAGCTGGGATCCGGAGTTCACAATGGACATGGGGCAGGGCTTATCATTTAGTATTTTGACCTTTTTTTCTTAACAATAGGGACATGCCTCGAAGGAGGCTCTTAATTCATCTGAAAGTACTATGGGTATTTGTTTACGGGGGTTATTTGAAGTTCAGGAAGATGGGGAGGGGGGGGGGGGTTTCTATGATTTTATCTCCATTCTTTGCTTGGGGTATTTAACTCGTTACTTCACAACCATTAGTTATGTAGTTAACTATCTTGCTAGCTTAATTAAGTAACTAGCTAGTTCGTTAGTTAGCTACGTATTCCAAACCAACACGTTCTCTCATTGAGTATTGCCCGTATTTACTCGCTATACTGCACTTCTCGATCGCCGTCTTGATTAAATGCTGGAGCATATCTATTGAAAGTAACCAATGGCTTATTGAGATGTGACATTTACGCTGGGATGCATTGCGGTTAACTATTCGACAGGTCTTCGGGGTACAACCCTCGAAGGATCAGGTTATACAGGACACGAAGGGGTTTTAACTGGCTAAAGTTGATTTTCAGATCATCGCAGAGTTATGTTAACTAACTAGTTAACTAGTTACTGTGGCACAAGCCCGGGTAGCTGCATTGTTATTTCTGAACTGTTTCAATCACTCGGTCCCGAATCCTAGCCTGACCTCATGCTGACCGTCTCTTCCAAATTATTTCTAGCCGAACCTGATGCGATCCAAAATGGGACACCTTTTCCTGTCAGCTACTTGTGATCTTCAACATTAGAAGGCTGTTCGTGCAGCTCGGCTCGAACTCAATGATCGATCAGGCTGTACCTCCTTGAGAAGAGTAACCATTTTCATCCTCCAGTGCGTCGATACTCGATCTCCCTTAATGATATCGGATTTGCTATAACTAGTTACCCGAATCTAGGGAACACTTAGGAATACTCCGTACGTCGGCCTGACTGCTTGATCTTGCCCTCGGCATTTGTTTTAATAGGTATATAACCAATCTCCATTACTTTCTCGATGGTTAGTTAACTACGTAACTAGTCAAGGGCACCA